ATAGATTGAACACTGGACAACCGACACACACTCCCAAGTCGGGAAACACACTTCTGTTTTATTTACTGTTCAATATACTATTAGGTTGGTGCAAAAATAATGACGTAATAATGTCGTTTTTTAACCTATTTTTTAAAGTAAAAAAAAACGACATTATTACGTCATTATTTTCGCACCAACCTAATATTTATGTGCACAACTCTTGTTTTGTTATACCTTAACTAATGACTTGGTCACAGCACCTAGACTTGGATGGGAATCATTCTAGAAGAAAAAAAACAAGAAGGCACCGTGAAACCATTTTCGCTTCTTCTTTATGTGCCACTTCCCCTCAAGACTTTTATGTTCATGACTCTCCACAATTTCCTATCCTTTGTAGATCTTAATAAATTTTGCATTTTTGTTATTTCTCCCAAACTATGTTCCGCCATGTTTACTCAAACGCATCAAGTATGTTACGCGCTATTTTTCTCTCTCCCTCTTTCTCTCAATCCGTCCTGTGAGTATTAGATTTTCCAAACCTTCCTTCCTCATTACGTGCCACATAAATTTCAACTGTCTCTATCTGGTGTTAAGGAAATGTTTCTTTTTTGTTTCCATTTTCTCTAACACCTCGTCGTTGCTCACATATTCGGTTAATGGTATCTTCAGCATCCATCTGAAGAACTACATTTATGTTGCTTCAAGTCTCTTCTTCATCTTTGAGGAGATTATCCAGCATCCAATGCACTTGTTGAAACTTGACTAATGCATGGAATAATAATACAACACAAAATGTAATTAGAACAAAATGTATTGAAACAAGAAAGTGTACACAATATTTACATATAGTCTTTTGTATATTCTTGGGAAGACCGTTCCTGGAGAATGTGTTGACTTAGTCGCAGTCGGGCAGAGTCTCTGGATTGAATCTCTTGATTCCTTCCCCTGTCTTCCCGGTACCAACCATATTTATATGGTCGGTACTCCACTATGCAAATTAGGTGGATTCTACCACAACAGCACTATAGGAGGGCAAATGTCAGGTAAGAGTCCAATACTCTTTTCTTTGTTTCTAACGATGTTTTCAATTACTTAATATACTGCTTAGCTTTTAACACAAGAAATTCACAAATATTAGTATACCTCATACTGAAAAAAGTGATTATATATATATATATATATATATATATATATATATATATATATATATATATATATAGTAATTTGTTGAAAATTTGAAGGTGTCGAAAACGACACCTCAGCCATCCTAGTGTTAAAAATGGTATCTTTGGCTATCCTAAGACATCTTCCGATTTCAGTGTTTCATTTATCCTCCTATGTTAGAACAATTCCTAGATATTAAAATGTTTGTACAAAAAACGAAAATACACACAAATAATTTAAATATAACTCGTAGATTTTTCCATCTTTCTCTCTATTTCCACCACTCTCTCTCTCTCGCTTTTCAATTCTCTCTTTTCGCCTCTCACTCTTTCCACCTCGCTTTTCACCCTCTCTCTTTACACCCCCCTCTCTCTCTCTTCCCACCCCTCTCTCTTTTCACCTCTCTCTTTCCGCCTCTCTCACTTTTCACCTTTCTCTCTTTTCACCTTTCTCTTTCCACCTCTCTCTCTTTTACCCTCTCTCTCTTTTCACCTCTCTCTCTCTGTTTCCATCTCTCTCTCTTTTCACATGTCTCTTTCCACCCCTCTCTTTCGCTTGCGCTTTTCACTTCTCTCTCTATTCACCCCCCCCTCTCTCTCTTCCCACCCCTCTCTCTTTTCACCTCTCTTTCCACCCATTCTCTCTTTTCACCTCTCTCTTCCCTCCCCTCTCTTTTTCACCTCTCTTTCCACCTCTCTCTCTTTTCTCCTCTCTATTCCCACCCCTCTCTTTTTCATCTCTCTCTTTTCACCTCTCTCTCTTTCCACCTCTCTCTTCCCACCCCTCTCTCTCTTTTCACCTCTCTCTCTCTTTTCACCTCTCTCTCCCCCTTTCTCTCTCTTTCCCGCCTCTCTCACTTTTCACCTCTCTCTCCCCCTTTCTCTCTTTCCGCCTCTCTCACTTTTCACCTTTCTCTCTTTTCACATCTCTCTCTTTCCACCTCTCTCTCTTTTCACCTCGCTCTCTCTTTTCACCTCTCTATTCACCTCTCTCTCTCTGTTTCCATCTCTCTCTCTTTTCACATGTCTCTTTCCACCCCTCTCTCTCGCTTGCGCTTTTCACTTCTCTCTCTATTCACCCCTCTCTCTCTCTCTTCCCACCCCTCTCTCTCTTTTCACCTCTCTTTCCACTTCTCTCTCTTTTCACCTCTCTCTTCCCACCTCTCTCTCTTTTCACCTCTCTCTTTCCACCCCTCTCTCTTTCCATCTCTCTCTTTTCACCTCTCTCTTATTTCACCTCTCTCTCTCTTTCCACTTCTCTCTCTCTTTCCACTTCTCTCTCTCTTTTCGACTCTCCCTCTCTTTCCCCATCTCTCTCTTTCGTGCGTGTTTATTTATGTTTCAACTTTCTTTAAACAAACAAGATTTATAATTTAAAAATATTTTTGCCATATTTAAAAAATATTTTCAAATGAACATGATTTTAAAATATTAAAATAGTGCAATGGGGTATGGTCCAAACTGTTCGTCTCTTGGTGTTGCAGTTCTTGGATCTTATTTATGAAGAAGCCATCACATTGTTGGTAAATCAGCAACAGAAGACATGACGTCATCACCGCTACGATACTCGTTGCCAGTCAATTGTTTTTTCATGTTGGGGAATAGATGATAGTCCGATGAGGCACAGTTAGAAGAATAGGGAGGGTGATCAACAAGTTCAAAGCCACAGTCAGGGACAGCAGTCATTGAAACCAAGGACATGTGCTGGACCGTCTTCCTAGTGAAAGAAGACACCTTTCGTCAGTTTTCCTGGTCGTTTGGTCTTGACGGCCTTTCGTAATTGCCTCATCAAGTTGGCATAGCACTCTCCATTGATGGTGTGGCCCTTTTGAAGAACAATCACAATGCTATTTGCATCCCAAAAAAACTGAGGCCATCAGCTTCCCTGAAGATAAAACGACGTTGGTCTTGTTTGAAGCAGATGAGGATGGATGTTTCCACTGAATGGATTCTCTTATTATCTCTGGATCAGGGCGATGAATCCAACACTTACATTGAAACGTTCAAGGAAACCTATTGGATCTGCATCAAACAATGTCAGATTGTCCCGTGTTGTGATCAGCCTGGTGCGCTTTTGATCAGGTATCAGAAGACGTGGCACCCACCGAGTAGAAACCTTTGTCATGCCAAGTTCATTGTGCAGAATATTCTCATAATAATAGAATTGACAGTTTGATTTATAGTCACTCACCTGTCGTCCATCGCTATGTGGAGATCGCGGTCAAAGTTTTCCTCAGCGGTGGCAGTTCCAGGACGTCCGGAGCTTGAGTCATCTTCAAGACTCTACCTTCCCCTCCTAAGTTCAACTGCCGACTTTCGCATTGTTGATAAATCTAGAGCGTCATTGTCTAATGTAGCAACCATGTCAGCGCAAGTGTCCTTGAGGACCAAACCCTTTTTTCTGCAGGGAATTGATAACAGCACGTTGTCAATTTTTCAAGAGAAGTCGCTTGTAGTTACTTTTGAAGTGTTCTTTGAACAGTCTGATGCCAGTTTACCTGGAAAGAAAACAATGCAGTTATTAAGGAGAAGAGTTGAAATTAATGAATCCAAGATTTTACAGTTCTAGCATCACTCCTTCATAGTCAGCCTAGGATCATTTCAGCCCGTCCTTGTTTGCGCCCACGCGCGCGTGAGTATGTGTTATGTTCATAGGCAGCATTCAACCGTCCTTGATAAGTTATCTTATTGTCGGCGCCGACTGATTTTATAAATAGCTCTTAGTTTATACATGCTCCTTGAGACCAAACTAATCATATACACACACACACACACATATATATATATATATATATATATATATATATATATATATATATATATATATGTGTGTGTGTGTGTGTGTGTGTGTGTTGTGTTTTTTTTTTTCTGTCCAAGCAACTCCTCCGTTCCCACTGGTCCGATTTCAGTTATTCATATCTCATTCAAAAAGATTTTCGTTGAGCTCAGATTCAGCGCGGCAAGATTATTCGAGGTTTAAAATATATATTCATATATTATACTAGCCATTATCGTTGCTTTTTTTGGTTGAAGGAAAGTAACTCTTATTTTCATGTTGTATTCAAAATTACAGTGCACGTTTTATTATAAAATAGCTAGCTTAAATGCCCCCCGAACCAATCCGGCGGCATTTAAGCTAGTTCCTGTGGAGGACTTTTAGTTTAGCCATCATCACAATAGCTAGGGAGGAGTAGATGCGATAGGCGCCAATAAACTACAAAAGAACTCAAAATTGATCGCTGCATTTAAGTATTGAATTAATGTTTAAGCTTAACTTTTAAAAGTTCAACAATAATTCTTCTGCTTTTACTTAATTTAAAGACAATTTGATGTACATAGATCCTTATTTTCCGTACAAACAATTATTTTTATTTCATGGCTGACAGAACAGGAGGAAGATAAAATTAATATAATGTAAAGATGGGAAAATAGAAATTAGAATTAGTTCTACATTCAACATTTGAAGATTTAGAGAAACATAATAGCTAATTAAGTAAAACCTATATTATGTAATATAATATATTTCTCCATATTTATTTTGGGATGTATTTTTTCTACTCTCCTTGGACGGATCTCAGCAAGTTTGTGATTTAATAAGATGGATGCCATTGCGGACGAGAAAAGTCGAAAACTGTCGACCAGGCTACACGTATTGAAGTGTATACGATAAAGCGCCCCGTGCTCACTATTGCGTCAGCCAAGCGAATGTACTTTGTCGAATGAAATGAGACGGCTGCTTAAGCACCTCGCACTCACTAATGCATGAACGGAGCGAATGCACTTGTAGGAACAAAGTGACTGCACTCGCAAGCTTGCGAGCGACGGGCTAGTATATATATATATATATATATATGAGGGGAGCGCTGGTACGAATTCTGCCGGAAGGAACATTTTTTATTAAGCTTTCGCGAGTACGCAGGCCGGCAGACCAAATAAATTCTGTATAAAATAAACAGAACGTCTACTCATATACGAGTATCCAGTAAAAATAGCATATGAAGTTATAAAATATAGAGAGGATTAAAGAAGGTCTGAGCTAAAATACACTGCCACCAAACATAATATTCTGAAACTATTATTTAACAATCGTAAGGAGCGAGATCTGAGGCATGTAGTGGCTGACGGAGCTGTGGAATGTATTGTTTGGTCAAAAAGAGCTTCACAAGCTATGGTCACTGATAAAAACCTCTGTGGTGTGTTGAGAAGACAACACTCTACGTACCTTTCTTTAAAGTACGTTGTAACTTAGTGTACATGAGTGACAGTGTTCAAGGTAAATCTGTACCAAGCGTCTTTATTCTGCATACATTATCTCCGTTACCATAACAACAATCCCGATATTTTTTTTATCAGACATCGCAAGTGTGTTAGCCTTATTCTCGTAGTAATGCTTCCTTAATTCCTGTCCATTGATAATCCCTTTTTTCTGTGGTTAAAATGCATAAAATGTTAGGAAATTCAAATATTCATGTCATATCCCCAAAATGAGACTTTTTTTCGTAGGTAGCGGAAACCCAATCCTAAACGGGAAACAAAAGAGAGACATCGAATCCTGTTTAAAAAAAAAAGGGAAGGTGTGAACCGGGTGATAGGCGAACATATCTACTGCGAAAATTTAACTTTTTTCGTTAGTTTTCTTCTTTTATTTTACGATAGCATGAAACCCCGAAATTTTGAAGCCGCTTCCAAACACAAAAATCTCACACGTCCATTTCCTTTGACGTGTAACAACCAACTCTCGAAAGAGCCTTTCCCACTGGGGGGTGCACAAACACAATCTGACCTCCGAAGAGCAATTAACGAAGAACCTTAATCTATAACTCATTCCCAAGTTCGGCTCAGCCAATCAACTCGACATCCCTATTTTGTCTACCATCTGGCCTCAAAGATCAGCCTCAGAAGATCTGAGCCAAAATAAACTGTCACCATAAAATAATACCCTGAAACTATTATTTAACAATCGCAAGGAGTGAGATCTGAGACATGTGGTGGCTGACGGACCTGGCAAATGTGGTGTCAGAAAGTGCTGCACAAGCTATGGTCACTGATAGAACCTCTGTGGTGTGTTGAGACAAACACACCCTACACACTTTTCTATAAGACACATTATATACATGAGTGAAAGCGTTCAAGCTAAATCTGTACCAAGCGTCTTTATTCTGCGTATATTATCTTCGTTACCATAACAACACTCCCGATATTTTTTTTATCAGACATCGTACGTGAGTTAGCCTTATTCTCGTAGCAATGCTTCATTAATTCCTGACCATTAATAATCCCTTTTTTCCGTGGCTACAATGCATAAAATGTTAGGAAATTCAAATATTCATTTCATAACCCCCAAAGACTTAGTAACCCTAAAGCCGTTGGTGTAAATCTATAAAAATATATTTCGTTTATAAATAAATATAGCAGTGTCTGTCAGTGACGCCTCAAGTGCTCTTGGGTTACTTACCCCACTTCTCTCAAGGGGTGATGGAAAGGGGGTTTAGTGTTGTCTGTAACCTGGTGTGCTTTTCGGGGAGAGAGATAAGCAAGTGCCAAAGGCTTTAATTGTTTACGCTTATGCCTCTGTTAGTCTGCACCTATATATATATATATATATATATATATATGTGTGTGTGTGTGCGTGTGTGTGTGTGTGTGTGTGTGTATTTATGTATTTTCACCTCGATATATATGTATGCGTGTAAAAATGTGTATGTGTGTGCGCGCATTGGATGTAAGTTTATGTATATATGTATTTCCAATGGTTTGCGTGTAAGCATGCGCATATATATATATATATATATATATATATATATATATATATATATATATATATATATATATTCACGTGTAAGTATATATATATATATGCGCATATATAAGTGTTCACGTGTAAATGTGCGTATGTAAGTCATTCTCTCTCGCTATATTTATTTGTATATACGTGAAGGTGTTAGACAATTACCTTTAACATCACTCTATCTATCTCTCGTTATATATATATATATACATATATATATATATATATATATATATATATATATATGGGGAATTGCATGACAAAGTGGAAAAACGACTCATCGGACTAAATATATGTTCGTACGATTACACATGCGCACTGGGGAGTTTAGGGTTTAAATTAATTTTCTTACATCTAGCCGAATTCATTTAGACCTTTAGAACTGTAGTTATATGGGATTAAAAATTAAATAAATAACTCAATTAAAGTTAAATTTAAATGTCGATCAGAGGGAAAAGTTTAAAAACAATTCTTTATTAAAGGTTTAAGTTCGCTTTTCGTCGCAGTTTCAATTGCAATTAATATCGTCTAATTAAACCATAATCAAAACTTAAGCCGAGCACGCTA